CGCCGAGAGGGAAAAGGGCAAGGTCCATCGACGACGCGCAGAAGCCGTGTCCGGTTCCTCGCGCGCATCAGCGACACATCGCGGAGCCACGACATCTCCGTTTCCGTGAGCGAGGGCCGCCACGATGCGGGACCCGTGGCGCGCAAGATTCATCAGCAATCGGGGGTAGGTTCTCCTCTGTTCCACACGCGCAGCCTCTCTCGCTATTCAAAATGAAATCCCACTGACAGTTTCCCCACTCCAGCTCCCGGATACCAAGATGATCCGCATCGCGTACATGGGCAAGCTCGCCAAGGAGAGCATGCCCCTTGCCGACCTCGGCTGGACACGAGGGCACGTCGTCAATGCTTTTGTTTTCGAGCGCCATGCGAGCTGAGCGACACGCATTGGCGAGCGCCTTAATTACGCACCCATTCCCGGCGTCTAGGCGAGCGATCTAATCTGCCTGCAAGCGAGAAAGAGAGAGAGAGAGAGAGAGATTCTTTTGTATACCGAGCACAATGTCCCTGCTCGCATTTTGTCTGAGCCTCGAGTCTTGTTCTGAGGACTGTTTCTTTTCTTTCACTTTTGATACCACTGCCGCATAGGCGCCCCTCCGTTGGAGAGAGGGGGCAATGGAGTCTCTTGGCATGGAGCGCATACCTGTCTTTGATTTAGGGCCTTGTGTCTAGTTGCCCATCTAATGAACGTGCCGATCGGGCAGATGAAGTGGCGAGGCTACTGCGGATCCTGTTTTGATGTGACCTGCTCAGGAGAAAACGTCAAGTGTCATGATGCACAGCACCCTAGTCATCGGAATCATCTCAATTCTACCTATCGCTGACGCCATACCCGACAGCACTTTTACTCTAACCCCGTAGCAAGCGCGCTCCCCCCACCGGCGGCCGTCCCCTCGGCGGGGGAACACGGCATTATCCCCCGCGGAACCCGTCCGTCGCGCCATGTCACGCCCGGCAGCTTCTAGGCTGCCGCGACGCCAATCTTGTTGATCCCTTCAGCGAGCCGAGGCTCAGCGCCAGGCCCTGCGAGCGGGT